TGAAGTGACGAAAACACTGTAAATACCCATGGAATCGGCATGTCGGTTTTGCGCGTTTACAGTGCGTCGGGGCCAACAACAACAACCACCACAACAACAACAACCACAACAACCACAACGACCACGACCACCACCACCACCACCACCACTGCGACCACGACCGCAACCAACACCAACACAAACACCACCACCAACAACAACAACCACAACCACAACAGCAACAGCAACAGCAACAGCAACAAAAAAAACAAAAAAAAACACAACAACAACAACTACAACTACAACAACAACAACACCAGCAGCAGCAGCAGCAGCAACAGCAGCAACAACACCAGCAACAACAACAACAACAGTTGCAGCAACAACAACCGCCACGACATGTCGTCTTAGCCAGATCGGACGAAAGCTTGAGGGCGCAGAGTTGCTGCCAAGGTGATTCGTTTCCACAGCGATGTGGCCTTGTTGAAGGTTGACGAGAAAGATTGCTTTGTCTTCTCCTTCGGCTGTTTGGTCTGCTGGGGATGCACTCCTCAAGAGGTCAACGCCGCGCGGGACTCCGTGAAGAATTTCTTGAAGGAACCGCTGACATCCACACAGGTGGAGATCGATCATCTCAACATCGCGGGGGGTGATGCATTGCCCGCGTGCCACAAGGCCGGATGGGGCAGATGGAAAAGCGAGATGCCCTAGGGGGTGTACTCCCCTTTGCCTACAAAGAAAACATGAGACCCAGCACATTGCCTTAGTATCCCTTACCTGCAGGTGCAGGAACGCATTGCCATCGCCTACTCGTTGGCTCAGTCTGTCCGCCTCAGCATCTTGGCTGTAGTGTTCAATGTTGGAGATCGATTCATTACAAGCTGGTGCAGAGCGCGACTCCCAGCCATCCGAAGGTTTCTGGGAACAGCGCATTGACGAGTGGATAGCAGCCACACGCAACATCCCAGAAGACATGGCTCGCACAGGCGTGGTGGCAGATCCCGACCAGCTTGCATCATGCAGTGCCAGCTGCTGTTAGAGTACACGCCCCGCTCCCTCGCTGTCAGGCCGTGTGCTCCTGAGCAGCCAGCACGTTGCGAAGATGATGGGAGAGCTTTTCGCGTTGAAAAACCAGGCCGGAGCATCTGGGCACAAAGATGCGAGCCAGGAATCCTGCTGCAAATGAGGTGAATCTTGAGTTCGACACTCTTGACACCCCCGATGTGTTCTGGGAGTTTGAAGAAGCCGCCTCTTAGCGGCACTCGGATTGCAAGATCGTCTAGACTAAGAGTCCTGGATTCCTGAAAAGTCGTTTGCGCATTACTACAGCAGGAGCCCATCTACGTCTACGCCAGGCAGCATTTGGACGTGGACCGCCGGATCCACATCGTGAATCACCGTTTTGAGGTCCTGGTCTGTTCAGTGTTCCGTCACTAGTCCTACAAGGATGCGCAAGTTTCTGGCACGCTCATTCCGTCTCACTCGCCTCTTCATCTGCAGCTTCACTCGTCCATTCCCATCCTGCAGGTGCTTGAGGACATGTTTGACGTTCTCAAAGACAAGTTGGATGAAAGACAAGGGAGCAGGCTGGACTTGTTCCCACTTTCACAGTCTGAGGTTGTGCGCTGCAAATCTTGGCTAGGCTCACCTGGATCATCATTTGGCTTTGTGCCCTGGAGACTGTTTTCTCGGCTCTCAAGATCATTTGGACAGCCGGGCTCCTCCCAGCTGTGAAAGATGCCGCACCTAGTTTGCACAGTGCTCAGTTCGTCAGAAACGAGGCAGGCAAAGCTTCGGAAACCCTGAAGGAACAGTGGTCGCTGAGAAGTTTGAGTCTGGTAGGTATTTCACTATCTCGAACCCGTGCCCGGATACTGACCCCACTTTAATTCCTGATATGTGGTCAGCAGCTATCGCTTTGCATGTCTAGTGGTGGAGCTGGCCGAAGGCTTAAGCTGAGCCTATGTGCTTTCCTTCCGACCGAACGAACTGACCTCGCCTGCGCTGTCCCAGATGCGAGATTCCAAAGGCCAGCCTCGCCTGGAAGTCCGAGTTGCGAGAGTCCGATCGCCCAAGTGATTGCCTCCCGTCGACCCGCTGGCATGACATGTGAAGCGAGGTGTCTGGATGCACAACATGCCGCAAAACAGTGGAGGAAGTGCGCACGGGCACAGACTGTCACACTGTGCTCCCAATTTCGCATTTAATATGCTTGTCCATCGGCGGCAGCCCACCGCTCGGGTGGGCCCGTGCAACTGTAAGGCAGAATGTAGCACAACAGCCAGGCAGATCCAAACAAAAGACAGGTTTTCACGCTACCTAGGGTTCCTGTCCGGCGATGGCCATTGGCCATTAGCCCAACCCACCCCAGCGTGACCCGAGATGCACCTTTGCCCGCTAAATGCGTAACCTGTACGTTTGGAAGGCAAAAAATAACCCGCGTCTTTGTTAGCCACTTCTCTTGCTGAACTGTGCCGATAAAGGTGTGCCTACTGAATTCACCTGAGGACATACGGTGTCCCCTGCCTAGAAGATATAGGGGAGGAGGAAGCCAAAAAGCAAGCACGAGCCCGACAAATGCGTAGGACAGATTTTAAATCTGTTTATGCCAGGGGGTTTTATGTTGCGTCAGCATGTGACCTGAGCTTCTGCAAGAATGAAACTTCATCCAAGCCTTGAGTCAATGTGTCCAGTTCGTCGCGATGCTGTTCGAATACCCACGATGAATTGGGATGGTTGTTGAGATATGTGCAGTTCCCGAGCTTGGCAAATGGGGGCAGTGCCAAGATGATGTGCAGTTTTGGTGGCCCAATATCAAGGATCCTGATTTCAGACGCTTTGGAGAACCGGCCACATGAGCTCAGGCACACTGGCTCCTGGAAAGTGCGTCATGGTCCAATGGCACTGTCCCATCGAACACCAGTTCACTGGCTGCTTGGCTGAATCCGTCTTGCTAGTGCTTGGACAGACCAACTGGCTACTGCCAATGTAGCTTTGGGTGCATCGGATGCTGCTGAAGGCATCAATGCAGACGCGGCCAGCCTCTATCCAGGACTGATTTGGTTGAGCATCTTCCTCTTGAAGTTTGGATGCGTGGGTGGTGGTCTTGATGCTTTCCAGGAAGCGCCGCGCGACTACATCTTCGTTTTGCCCATACTGGGCACCCTCGATTTTATTTTGCATCATGCCACGCTGCTGGCAAAGAGCTGTCTAAGCTGGGCTCAATCATAGACGAGAAAGGGTTTCCCGCCTCCTGTACGGCAGCGTGCTGTTGTCGCGACAAAGAAATTTAATGCCGTGGACGATCGTCGATGTCTTAGTCTTGAACATCTGACTGACAATGCTTTCAGGCAACTGCCTTGCATGCTCTAAGTCGGGCGCGCAGTTCGCATCCTGACGCCCTGTAACCAACGGGGATCGGCATGCTGAGTTAGTTCGAAAAGACCGGACAGCAAAGGCAGCTTTGCTATGCTTCTGGCCGCGAGGGGATCTGTGCCAAGCCTGAGCACTTGTTACCAGGGTGCTACGTGGCCCCCTCCGCGGTGTTTCCTGGAAGACGATGAGGGCGAGGCAGATGAATCGCTGACTTGCGCAAGCTACTACAACCTGCACTTCGGTCCTTTAAATGTCGGAACCTCCAGTGTTTTTCATGCACCAGGTACTGACTTCCGATAAGGACACTGCACACGCGGATCGCAGCACCACCGTAACATGCGGCGCACAAGCATTTGCTGCAGCGGGCTGGCTTTATGATCAGCAGCTGTGGTGGCGAGGAATTGGCGGAAGCCATGGAGGGTAAAAGTGCCTGATGCTGAGCAAAGCGAGAGCTGGGCGTTCCGACACCGCACAGTACGGTGTAAACAGGACCCCACAGTGAAAATCTCGAACTTTTCAGGTCCCAGCCCTGGTTCTGCGATGCCTCCACGCGGCGCTGAGGCGCAGCTTCTGAGCTGTTCTGGTAAAAGTTTCCGCGGCCTAGTTCCTCAGCAGGTGTCCTCAGGGCTATAGCACAGCATCGGACGCTGCCATCGCCTTGGCGTAATGAACAGCACGTGCTATATCTTTATCTCTAGAGGTCAGGCGTTGAGATACCTACCTGCCTCGGTTTGTGCTGCCGGGATAGTACCGTAGGAAGGAGTTTGCACACCACATCTCACCACTCTGCTTGAATATGAAGGGCATCTCCCTTAAAGCTTCGTGTGAGACAGTGGCTTTATGGTCGCGAGTGGCTTGTGTTCATCTGTTGTGCACTGGCTAGTTGCGGCTAGTTGATAAGGCATTAGCTGCGCTGCTTGAGCAGCTGCTGTCTATCTCCTTGACGGCCGACTGCCACGCCTCCTGTCGGCAAGTGGGATTTCAGCACTACGGCAAGTCTCCCAGAACCCTTAAAATATACCCAACCCCAACCCCAAATGGCACCTGGCTCTCTAGGGCCTAGGGAGTCTCCACTAGACTCGAAGACTCGAGGCAGCTTTGGCCTTTCTGCGGGAAGCGGCACTCCTGCTTCGAAGGCCTTGTTTAGCTTAGCACCGGCAAGATCTTGCTGTTCGTGCGGTAGCTAAGCTTGAGGGTTGGGACCGCAGAAGTCGAAATGGTCTGATGCTTCCAGGCACCGTCGCCTGTACTCCCTGCTTGACGTGGAGGGCGGGATTTTCGGCCTGGGGGGTGTAGCTGACAAGTCCGCCTGGGTCTCAGATCCGAGCTTTGGCCGACAGGCCAGTGCAATTCTTCAAGCTCTTATGTGCTCTGAGATGTCTCTCCGTTCCGAACCCGATCGCATCAAGACCCTGTTTCGCAGACGTCCCTGACAGTACACACAACTGCACCTGTGAGCAAGTGCACTGCAGGTGACACTTGCATGGTATTTCCAGGGCATCAGCTGCTCACTCTCGCCGGTCTTGGCGAGTGCTGCACAGGCGCAGCACTCGGCGAAAAGTTCCATGTCCACATCACACGTTGTTGGCTGTCAGGCGTTACCCTCCAGCATCCCAAAGCGGAACGAGGTCATCGCTGATCTTTTCCCCTTCAAGGAGCAGGGTAAAGGCTAACCGGCTTAGAGGTAGCCTTTGCAATGGTGGGCAGTGGATCAACAGGACTCACATCAGTGGCTTGCGGGAGAAGTTGTACGGCATTTCGGTGCATGGCACTGAGCGTTTAGCGTGCCCGCATGCTCGGATTCATAGTGACCACCAGCATTACGGACTTGCTCCTGTACTGGCTAGTACACTCGCATCACTCGTATGGCTTGACATATGAGTCCTTTCACTATCACTATTGCTATCGGTCGTCTTCGTGTCATTACTGCTCGCACTTGCCTTGCGATGCCAAGACGTTGTAGCTTTCATGGGGCACCGGCTGTGTTTCGGCTATTCGCAAACTCAGACTGCTTGTGTCGCCGTGCTGCTCCATGCTCCTCCAAGGCAGCTGAGGACATTCCGAAGCAAACGAGCAGAAGATCCAAGCCTCGGGCTTTGATTATCAGCCTGCATGTCTCGTGTCGCCACCATGGTTCTGCCTTCCACCGCAGAGTGAGAGTGTCTCGGTGGCTGGGTGGGCCGGTGGGTGGGTGTGCGAATGGACGCACTCGCTGCTACCAGGCTTGCCAGCTTCGTGTCTGAATCAGAACTGAGAGCAACTTGCGAGTGAGATGCTGATCGATTGCAAAATGATTGTACCGAGACTTGCCGTTTCATCACCGAGCTGCATCAACGGCTGCGAGTCTTTGAGGTCACACTTGTAGGGAGTTCGCCGGTTGTGGCCGCCAGCATTGCACGTCAAACTCCTGCACAGTTTGTCTCCGGCTGGTGGGTCACAGAAACGTTGAGCTCATGCGACAAAATAAGCCAGCACATACCATGGCATGAGTCATGATGAGGCATTATCTTGGGATCGAGATTTCAAGCAAATTCGTGATATTCACACTTGCGTGGCATTGCGAGTCCCTGTCGGGAGTCACAAGAAGAAACATCCCTTCTGCTGCCCCGGGTCTCGCCGACAATGAAGCATGCAGGACCCCATCAAGTGCATCAAGTAGATGTAAGTGGCAGATCAGCCGGGATTGCGCTGCAGGAGCTCTCTCAAGGTGTGGACAGACAGAAGATCTGTCTGCAACGGGAGGAGTCGGCCAACTCAAAGCAGCTGCAGCGATTGGGCTCCGGAGCTGTTTCCTCAGGGTGTGGGCATGCATCCCATCATGGGGCACTCGATTTTTTTATCTGGAAGCTCCGATCAGGTCTGCATCATCGAAGTCGAGGTCGAAGATGCCGAAGGCGTAGCTCTGGGATAGTCACGAAGAGATTGAGATGTGCTGGGCGAGCATGTCCTGCACCTGAATCAGGTATCGAGTCCAAGGTGGGCACCGGATTCCTGGGTATTTTCCCGGCATCTCGCCTGCGATGACGATCTGTTTGATGAGGAGTTCTTTTCTGCTTGGTTTCCTGCGTCCAAGTCAGGACCACCTCGCCGGCTTGCTCTTCCTCGTCACTTGCCGACACGTGCTCCCAGACGAGGCTACCCTTTGAAGGGGTTTGGCTCACTGTCACTGTCATGCTGGAACAGGCCTCCTGCGACAACGCGATCTGTACTTTCGAGGTAAAGACCGTAATGTGCCATGATTTCATAAGCATTGCAAAATAGCGGCGTGGCTCTGCCAGAGGCATCAGGGCAGCCAGGGCACAGTCTCAGTCCTTCACCTGCTCTTGGCTTCGCCGCTCCGCCTTTCTTGGATGCCTGGGCCCCAGGGCGAAACGTGGCGGAGCCCTTGCGGAGCTGTGCATGCTGTGCCTGTTTCGCTCGAAGCTGTTTTTGGGCGGTCCCGCGGCTAGAGCTCAAGCTTGGCGACGTGGTCCTCCCCCACGCAGCCTCTCCGAAGACATCATGGGCCAGGGTCTTGGCATGGGCGACTGCAAACTGGTTTCAGTCAAGATTCAATAGCAGAGACAGAAAATGTGTAGCAGGCTAGGCACGCCTCTGACAACTTGCGGGCTGCATGGCAACAGGTGCTGGCGCTTCCACAGAAGCTGCGGAGGCTGCGTTCTGACAAACGTGCTGGCTGTGCTGTGTTGTTTCTTTGGCTTGCGATCGCTGCGGTGCAGTGACCGGGGCGTGCGCACGTGGGAAGTTGTTAGCTGTTAGCTTCGGTTGGTCTTAGCTTGCATTCGAGGGGGCCGATCTGGATCTGGTGTAGACTCTAGATAGTTCTGCACCGGAGCACTGCTGCTGCCATCGCTGCTTCTGAGGACCTTTGACACGGCACCACCGCTATGGATGTGTCTTTGCACGAGCCGTTGCCAGGCCTTCAACAAGGCCTCAATTGCCGAGATTACGGCAGCTTTGGCGGCCTTGTCCCCCGAGGATGGTTTACAAGATGCCGATGCCTTGTAGTTTTCATCAATCAGACTTTGATTTTGTCCAGGAACTTGACAAGATAAAAGAAGCATCCGCAGGTGCGAAACCGAGTCGGCAGCAGCTGGTGACAATTTCACTCGCTTGTGCAGAGGCGCTGCTTCCGCTTCAGAGCAGAAAGAGGCATCCGAGAGCCAAGAGCATGAGATGCTTTGATGCTCGTGGCTGCATTGCAGGCTGGAGGAGCTGAAGCTGCAAAGCCCGAAGAGCCCGCGCAGGCCAGCTATCCAGACTGCACCCATAGCGCAGTTTCGAGACAAGTGAGCCGCTGCTTAAAGGTCTGACGATTTGTGCGTAGCCTTTGATGCTCTGTGCATGGTGCCAATCTGACGGTGACAGCTGGCAAGATTGAAAGCTCTAATTGACTCTAGTGAGATAAATGAAATGAATAGGCCTCTCGAGTGAGGAAGGGAACTACGGTCGTTATGCAACGGTCTCGCCCCGTCCAGGATGCCACGAAGCCGGCCGAGCCTGCGGAGGCAAGAGAACCCTTGAGATTACCGACGGCCTGCAATGCACAGGCTTAAGTGGTTTGAACTGATTTCATCACTTGCGTGAAAACAATGCATGTTCAAGTATGTTTTCTTTTTCTGGGCGGCAAAACGATGCATAGTTATTGAATTCTGTGGCATGTGGTAGGACGGCGCGAAGCCGCCAGAGGCTGCAGCAGAGGCTGGGCTCAGCTGCAGGTGAGTATGTAGCACGAAGTGAGAAATATGTCGAAACACATCTCCACCTGTTATTTGGTGTTTTTACCACAAGTCCCGAAGCCAATTGCATGTTGGAAGCATTATCTTTTGTGTGCTGCGTGTTGTGCGCATCCGGGTTGGTTGATGTCCATCTCGGGTTTCTGACCTATTGCATATCAGATGGTGCTCGTTGGCATGTGGATGGTGATGATGGGGGCGGCGACAATGCCGACAGCGATGATGATGATGATGTTGATGATGATGAGGGCCACTACAATCTACAACAGGTCGCCCTGATCACCGCCGCCATCATCATCTTTGTCGCTGCCACTGCCGACAATGACGATGATGATGATGATTTGCTGATATTTGCATTGGCATTGTCGTACACGTCAACATAACCCCACTTCGGGCATCCAGGCCCTGCAAGACGGCCGAGGTCCATGTGGGTGCACAGCCTTGAACAGTTGTTGATCGCAGGAGGCTTCAAAGCCTGTGGAGCCAGCAGCTGCCGAGGCCACTTGGAACAGTCAGGAAGTTGACCGGTTGCTCATCTTCGCTGACATCACCTATGGCCTCAAGCAAACATTGTCACGCGGGTTGTGTTAGCTGAAGTTTGGGTCAACACAGTTTGTGAGTCATGAGGTTCAACGACACTAGCTTTCAAACAGGTTAAGCTAGGAAGGTGTCAAGTGGGCTAACTTGACCTGTCCCAGTTTTGGGTTGGACTGTGTCGGGTTTGGTGGTTGGCTTGTGATTGAATTCATTCAGGCTGAAACTCGACGAACCTGTAACACGATAAAACAAGTGAGCGTAAGTTCCCTTAGGTTAATTTTGGTGAGGTTTGGTGAAGTTAGTCTAAATGAGCTTATACTCAGAGTGGGCAGGCTGGTTTTAGCAGACCGTGACTTGAAACAGGCTAGGTTAGGCCAGGTGTGAAGTAGGTTTGCCCGGGTGGGCTAGATCAGGCTAGGGGCATGAGTCGATCACAAGTCCCGAAGCCAATTGCACGTTGGAAGCATTGTCTTTTGTGTGCTGCGTGTTGTGCGCATCCGGGTTGGTTGATGTCCATCTCGGGTTTCTGACCTGTTGCATACCAGATGGTGCTCGTCGGCATGTGGATGGTGATGATGGTGGCGGCGACAATGCCGACGGCGATGATGATGATGATGATGATGTTGATGATGATGAGGGCCACTACAATCTACACAGGTCGCCCTGATCATCGCCGCTATCATCATCTTTGTCGCTGCCACTGCCGACAATGACGATGATGATGATTTGCTGACATTTGCATTGGCATTGTCGTACACGTCAACATAACCCCACTTCGGGCATCCAGGCCCTGCAAGACGGCCGAGGTCCATGTGGGTGCACAGCCTTGAACAGTTGTTGATCGCGGGAGGCTTCAAAGCCTGTGGAGCCAGCAGCTGCCGAGGCCACTTGGAACAGTCAGGAAGTTGACCGGTTGCTCATCTTCGCTGACATTACCTATGGCCTCAAGCAAACATTGCACGCAGGTTCTGAAGTTTGGGTCAACACAGTTTGTGAGACATGAGGTTAAACGACACTAGCTTTCAAACAGGTTAAGCTAGGAAGGTGTCAAGTGGGCTAACTCGACCTGTCCCAGTTTTGGGTTGGACTGTGTCGGGTTTGGTGGTTGGCTTGTGATTGAATTCATTCAGGCTGAAACTCGACGAACCTGTAACACGATAAAACAAGTGAGCGTAAGTTCCCTTAGGTTCATTTTGGTGAGGTTTGGTGGAGTTAGTCTAAATGAGCTTATACTCAGAGTGAGCCGGCTGGATTTAGCAGACCGTGACTTGAAATAGGCTAGGTTAGGCCAGGTGTGCAGTAGGTTTGCCCGGGTGGGCTAGATCAGGCTAGGGGCATGAGTCGATCACAAGTCCCGAAGCCAATTGCACGTTGGAAGCATTGTCTTTTGTGTGCTGCGCGTTGTGCGCATCCGGGTTGGTTGATGTCCATCTCGGCTTTCTGACCTATTGCATACCAGATGGTGCTCGTCGGCATGTGGATGGTGATGATGGTGGCGGCGACAATGCCGACAGCGATGATGATGATGATGATGTTGATGATGATGATGAGGGCCACTACAATCTACAACAGGTCGCCCTGATCATCGCCGCTATCATCATCTTTGTCGCTGCCACTGCCGACAATGACGATGATGATGATTTGCTGGCATTTGCATTGGCATTGTCGTACACGTCAACATAACCCCACTTCGGGCATCCAGGCCCTGCAAGACGGCCGAGGTCCATGTGGGTGCACAGCCTTGAACAGTTGTTGATCGCAGGAGGCTTCAAAGCCTGTGGAGCCAGCAGCTGCCGAGGCCACTTGGAACAGTCAGGAAGTTGACCGGTTGCACTTCTTCGCTGACATTACCTATGGCCTCAAGCAAACATTGCACGCAGGTTCTGAAGTTTGGGTCAACACAGTTTGTGAGACATGAGGTTAGACGACACTAGCTTTCAAACAGGTTAAGCTAGGAAGGTGTCAAGTGGGCTAACTTGACCTGTCCCAGTTTTGGGTTGGACTGTGTCGGGTTTGGTGGTTGGCTTGTGATTGAATTCATTCAGGCTGAAACTCGACGAACCCGTAACACGATAAAACAAGTGAGCGTAAGTTCCCTTAGGTTAATTTTGGTGAGGTTTGGTGAAGTTAGTCTAAATGAGTTTATACTCAGAGTGAGCCGGCTGGATGTAGCAGACCGTGACTTGAAATAGGCTGGGTTAGGCCAGGTGTGAAGTACCGGGTGGGCCAGATCAGGCTAGGGGCATGAGTCTAGATTCTGTCCGGTTATGTAGAAGCTGGGTTTCGTTCATGTCTTTTGGTACATCTATGTTGCATTAGGCTAGGATCAACTGGCTTTGGCTAAGTCGGTTTGGCTCAGTCATGTTGAGTTGAAGAACAGTTAGGTGAGTTGAACCAGGTCAAGCTAAATTGCGCTGGGTTAGGTTCGGGTTGCAGTTTTGGGTGTGTCAGACTATGTTAGTTAGTGTACCTGACTGTTTACATGAGGTTCGACTAGGTTAGCTTGGCTTACTGTAGGAAGGTTTCAAAGGTCAGGGTACGTTGGGTTTGGCTTCCGCTAGGTTAGGTTACGGCTCGGATGAGGTTGTGTGAGGCGCAGGTTAGATTACGGTTACGATTGAGGTCTTCGGTGGGGTGTAGTGTCCTTCTTGGTTGTGCCGTTGGTGCGCGTCAGCTTCACGCGGCCGATGCTCTTCTGGTGAGGTCATCTTGTGGTCGGCCGGAATGATCTTATATCGGCTTCACATGCAGAGCCTGTCCGTGCGCAATGTGGGAGTCTGATGATAAATCGGATGGTCGCTTTGTGGTCGAGTGGCCGCAAAGCCAGAGGGAAGTGCATGAGCTGTTTCCATACGCCGCAGCGATGTTCCAGTTCCAGGTGAGATGGAACCTAAACATCTCCATTTTGTGCTGGAAGGTCTGGAAGCAGGGGGACGAGGAATTTGTAGCGATTGTTATCAGGGTACTCTCCGCCAGGCAAACGGCTAAACAACTTGATTGTCAACTGTTGTTGCCAGGCAGGCCCCAAAGAAACACTGGAGGATGTGCCTTGCCTTGTCACTGCATTGTTGCTTACGGCTTTTTTGGAGTCAGACCAGGCAAAGATCGTGAGTGCAAGCTGCCTCAGGCCGAGATGAAGCTGAAATTCCAGGCTGCCTTCAGGGCAATAGACACAAACAAGTCTGGCCGCTGGCTGAGCGGGGCTGACACCGGGTCATCGACTTCCCTCACAGGCATCACAGAACGCACCACGCTTTCTGAGGATTCATCGAGGTCAATGAATTGGAGGCTGTCCTGCAGACCCTCGGAGTCAACCTGACCTCAGAACAGGCTCGTGCATCTGTGCCAGCTTCCAAAAGTCCAAACTTCAGAGCCTACCTGGCTACCTCTAAAGTCAAAGGTTGATGTTGCAGCCGGGGCTGCGTTTTGCTCAGTGCAGAGCTATATGATGGTGTAGCCGGTGTCGCGATGGCTTCCGGCACCAGTACATTACGCTGGCTGTCGTTGGTAGCTTGCATTCTGAGCCTCGCGTCTTCGGAGGTGGCGCAGGTCTTTCGTGCTGCAGATCTCAACGGCACCAAAGCTGCATTGAAGCATCCATCATGGCTTATGTTGTGAGCCTGTTCCTGAAGGATCCGCAACAGGCACAAACGAACTGTTCACCTAGCATGCTTTGGAATGCTCAGGAGCTAACTTCTGCTTCATATGTTTCCATGCGTTTGAGCCACGTTGGTTCGGAAACGGCTTTGGGAGCAACAAGACTGTCGCCCTGGCTCCTACCTGCCTCGTTCTGAGCCTGTCCTGTAAAGCTAGAAAGTCCCGACTTTTTCTTTCACATCACGCTGCATGTGAGCCTCCCGGGCATGGATGGAAGGATCAGAGCATACTTCAGAGAGCGCTGAAGCCGTGATTAGCGCATGCAGCAGGCGAATGTGATAGCATGGTACAGAAGTTAGTGAAGTCGGGTTTGAAGCGGGTTCGGGGCTTCTGATTGGAAAGTCATGTTTCCGTTACATCACCAAGAACTTACGCATCAACACAAGACGAATGTTTTGATGAAGGAATGAATCCAAGCAGACGGGAAGACTGACTAGGCAGCCCAAAAACGTGGAGATATTTGCGACGCACTTGGCCGTCGTAAAACGGTCTCGGCTGTCATGATGCCCTGAGGGCAGAGCCGTCCATTCAAAGCCGGATCTCCGGTATCCCAAGAAGTTCTTCCAAGAGAGCCGTGGCCCCGAGGCCTAGGCAGAATCTGAAGGCGCGGCCCGTTTGGCTTCCCGCAATCTCCGCTGGACCCTTGCATATCCCATGGCGGGCAGACAGTGATGCCGTCCGATGCAATCATGTCTTTCTTGGAGTTTCCTTGCCTTTGGAATTGAGGCTCTGTGGGCAATAGCGGAAAATGAGGCAGCGAACGCCCTGTGCCAATGCCATGCCTCTCCCTCTCCAAGGTGATGATCGCCTGGACATCGACGAGTACGAAGCACTAGTGAAAAAAGCCATGCCAAGCATGCAGTGACAAAGGCTCGACTCAACCTTGTAAGCAATCCCAGCAGCAGTCTGCTGAAGCTCCTGGGCACATTTCCGGCGTTTGGCACCTTCAGCGACGCTTCAACACCACTGTCGCTATCGAGGGTCTAGGTCATGAGTCATTACCACAATCCGAATGCGGGCTTAGCTAATCCCCTGGCATGCTGCAAATCGGTTGCCTGATGTGAAATGAGTGAGCAATGTCCGAGGTGTTGCAATTTGTGCAGTGTTGGGGGCACGAAGCCTCTAGCCCTCGCAGTTTCGTTTATCTGCAGGCCACAGAGTCCATGTTGAAGCATGTGAGCATTAAAAGCTACACGGTGTGAAGATTACTCGGGCCTGTTTGTCCAAATCTGTGCCACGAACTATCCTGCACAGACCCGAAGGGTCGGAGATGCAAGCAGATAGCCGAAGCAACAAAAGGCAGCTTGGATGATCCCATGGGCTGACGGGCTTGTTCTGCCGCTGGCATCTGCAAGCAGAGGTTGTCATCACGCGCGTTTCCTCCGAAGTTGCCACCGGCCTGCCGAGAAACCAGCAACCTCAGGACTGCGTAGTACTGCGTAGTGTTCTGTTGGGCCTTTTGGCCTGGCTGAAGGGTTCCTGGCTTCCTGGCCCTGGAAAGGAGATGGACCTGACAGAGACTCCGCTGCCTGGTGAGGCAGGTCCACCGTCCACTTGGGAGTTTCGGTTTGGGCAAATGTCATGGCGTTTACTGTTTGAAGACGATGCTTGGTGTGCAATTGAGGATCTGCTGCTGCATGGCTTCTCGGATGCGTTGCATTGCGCATCCTTGATCCTTGAAGGGCAGCGTTGCCCTTGCCAATGGCTGAGCGATCTGCCGAGGCTACTGCCGTGGCAGGGCATTCTGCACCTTTGCCTGCCGAGCTCTGGCCGTGTCCGGCGAAATCCTGCGATTCGAGGCCTTGCGCCTGGGCATTCCCGACCATGACAGCGCACTTGGTGGTTTCAGGTGCTTTCGGACGATCTTCCGGAGACGGGCGTCCGCGAATTCGGATTCTTCGTGCTACATCAACTGGTGCTGGTTGCTTTTGCCAGGCTTCTGGTAGCCCATTGACAAACAGAAGAGGTCAAGCAGCACGGGAGCTCAGAGCAGGTGTCCAGTGGCACCTCGAGTCTAGAGCCAGAGCGCACCTAGGCCTAGGCCTCCCAGAGCCTTGCGGCTTTCTCAGGTTGCGGTGCACATGGGTCTGTGGCACCAAGACTCAGGCAGGGCAAGCCGAAGTCGTGTAAACACTTGTTTTTAGATTTTCATAGTACTCTACACTTAAGCTCCTTCTTCTATCTCAAGTCGGGAATGTTAATGGTATTGACCAGTAGTTCGCCATCGGTTCATACAGCGCTTTTCCTGGAAAAGGGAAATGCTCTGCTCTTCTGCAGCGGTTCAGGCGTGGAGGGACGGGCGACGCTTCTCCGAGCACTAGGTGCTCCGTGACATCTCATGAAATAAATGGGAAATCCGGCAAGGTGTGAAAGGTTTGGCTTCAGAGAGTGGCGGGGTTTGCAGGAATTCCTTCGTCCTTGCGACAACCAGCACCTCTGCCACGACGAGTGTGGCTGAGCCTAGTGCCTTCTTGGGGCCACCTGCTTTGGTTAACAGTCCAAGCTCTTTGGTCCAGATTGCAGTTCAGTTAATACTGCTTCAGTGATTTCAGTGTCGCACAGCAACCGCAGCATCGAAACTGCACGTTATGACATGTTCATGACTGGTGTTTGCCCTGCTGTCCGAGTTGCATGACCGGGCGGCGCGGAACGAATGACGTTCTCAACGGTGCGGGAGCTTGTGACATTTGGAGAGTTTTCAAGTTCGTCCACAGCCTGCTGTCCTTTGGTGTGCGCGAGCGGTGTAAATGAGCTGAGGCATTTACGAGGTGGGCCCATGCGCGGCGGCAATTGCCGGGCAATTTTGATGTTCAGACATGTTCAGACTAAGCTTATAGGGCCCATGCTGCATTGCAGGTTGTCGAATCGGCACGCCAGAAACCGCTTGGATTCTCGGGGTTGCAGCGTTTGCACGCTCAAGGCGGAGTGCTGAAATCTGGACTCCGCCGAGGCAAGAGCATGAAAATGTGCAGCCCAGAAGCGAGCGCACGGCAAGCCACACATCTCCGCAGTATCTCCGCCATTATGGGCCTCCAGAGACAGCTCAGAAACGACAGAGCACATTCACCGGCGAAGTTGCGCAAACGGACCGCTGCCTGATGCCATCCCCGAGGCACGAAAAGCACGCAGTGAACTCCTTTTCAGAACCCATCCATTGCTGACCTGCCGAGCTAAGTCTCGAAATGCAGGTGATTCGGTCACATCAAATCTGGATAATATGCATTCTGACCGTCGTTTGCCTCTTTGTTGGACGCAGGGGCCGCACTCCCGATCCAGGTTTGTGCTGGCCGCCACGAGCTTGGACACTGTCTAGCAGAGTCTAGCAGGCTTCGATGAAACAGAAGCCACAGTGCACAGACAGCCAGACGTAGCCAGACTATGAGGAGAACACGCACGCACACGCACGCACATACAGACACACACACACACACACCAGGAGACACACACACACACACGCCAGCACACGCCACGCCACGCACGCACGCATCTGAACGAACGGTTTTGTTTGGGGCCCTTGGTAGGGTTGGCCTAGGCCCCTAGTCTGCTGGTCCGCTGGGCCCCTGGTCCTGCGACTCCCCAACCCCCTCTGGGAGGGGGTGTGCTTAAGGCATATTATGATGAGGGGCTTGTTTAAGATATGTGATGAACCTCGGTCGCCAAATTAGGGGGCGTGTTTGGGATTTTTGATGAACCTGAATCGTCCAATACGGGGAGGGGGTGTGTTTAAGATATACGATGAACCGACATCGTCACATGAGGGGGCGTGTTTAAGATATCTTTTGATGAACCACAATCGCCACATGCAAGGGAGTGTTAAGAAGTATGATGGGAATCGACAAATGATTTTGGCGTGTTTAAGATAAATTCGGAACAACAACAACAACAACACCAACAGCGGCAGCGGCAGCGGCAGCAGCAGCAGCAGCAGCAGCACAATCTATCTGGAGTGTCTGTCAAGTAAACGTGGGGGTGGGGGTGTGTATGTGTGCACGGAATGCAAAGTCATGTCTGCCCTCTCTCGTTTCAAAGTTTTCGCACGAACCATGCTGGTTCGCACATGAGAAAACCTCCCCAAGCATGCATCAAGACACCATCGACAATCCTTCACAGATAACCAGCTCCCTGTCAGTGTTTTGTGCTGCTTCGCCCAGCTTGTTTAAGCCCTGCAAGTTCGCTTCAACATGACTTCCTGCTAGCAGAAACAGCACGCACATGGATCCTTTCAGATGGGGGGCTCGAGTGGGGGGCCTTTGCCCGCCCCCCAACCCCCCCCGCCCCCGCCCCGTCCTGCCGCGGCAGGGGGTCTGTGAAAAGTTGGGAGCGGGTTTAGCAGTTTAGCGAAAGTGCAGAATCGGAATTGGCAAATG